AGAAGACTTATTTGCATTTTTCTGTCAGTGGTAGATTTTGTCTAGGAAAGATGAAGAGTAATGACAATCTATTTTTGCATAGGCTCATGGATTTAGGCACAAACTTTTTCATATGATAGATACGAACTTGGTGTCTCCAGCCTCTTGTATTCAAATGTTACAAATTGACTATAGGGTCCTTGGTACCAATAAGGAAGCATGAGTCCTTTGGGTTGTATCATTTTTGCCATCTTTTGGAAGATTTGGTTAGAAACACACGCAAAAGTTTTTGAAGATAAGTTTGTTGATCCAGATGGGTTATGGGATAAGGTATGTTATTTGTCTTCTATTTTGGGCTTCAATTTCTTCACGGGTTCCATTGTTTTTTATTAGTCGAGATTGAAGTGTATTGATATGTAACTTTTTGTTGATAAATGTCTCCCTGGCAGACTTCTTGTCTTTCATTTTTCTTTGTAATTGTTTCTATTTTTTCTTTTTTATTAATAATTTTTGGGTGAATTACTCTAACAGTCCTTGTAGTTTGGGGTTTGTGTCACTTTGGTCCTTGGCTTTTCAATTGTGATGCAATTAACCCTAAATTTTTACATTTGACCATGAATTTTAAATCTTATTTCAAATAAGGACAATCAAAGATGTTTCCATTGCAAAAAGTCCATTTCAAAGGCAAAGTCGTCATACAACCTATTCACCCAAAAAACTTGTATGTTGTTTGAAATATAATAGTCTTTTTTTTAATAAATAATGTTGGAACTTTCTTAGTTATAAAGTTATGTTTGGTTTGATTTGGTTTTCAGAATCTATTTTAAGAAATTGTTTCTAAGAAACTAAAATTAAATTGGTGGAAAAAAAAAAATTAAAAACACATCTTTATATAATTTTATTTTTTAAGAGGATAGAAATAATTTTTTTAAAAATTTATTTTCATTAAATTAGTTTTTATTTTTTCAAAAGTCAAACATGGCGACAAATTTGATATCATTATTAAACTAATCCATTAAATAAAAAAAATTCCAAAACTAAAAATATTTTATATATTAAACATATCGATTACACATTAAAAGCCTAATAATCATCCATCACATGATAACTATCCAAAAATATCTATTAACAACAAATACAACCATCTATTACATGATAACCATTCAAAAACAATCACCCATTACATGATCATATCCAAACACATACTAAAAATTAATTTGGTAAAAAATAAAAATGTAAAAGACTTATCATTTTTATATAATTTTATGTTTGGTGTGTACAAATAATTTTTAAAAATTCAAAGATAATTTTTTTGACATTTATTTTTGTTGAAGAGTAGACCTGGCGTAGCGGTAAAGCTACCCCTTGGTAACCTGATGGTCACAGGTTCGAGTCGCCGAAACAGCCTCTCCGTTTGCGGAGGTAAGGCAACATACATCAACCCTTCCCCAAACCCCGCTTAAGCGGGAGCTTCGTGCACTGGGTACACCCTTTATTTTTGTTAAACTAGTTTATATTTTCTCAAATTGATGACTTTACCCTTGAAATAGAGCAACAGTGTCTTCAATTATCCTTATTTAGAACGAGATTCAAAATTCATAGTCAAATGTATCACAACCTATGTTACATGGACTCGGCACTTTGGGGGGAAGTACCCGTGTCGACACGACACGACATGACACGGGTGCGGGTGTGGGATCTGTGTCGGATTCGCCTCTTCTCTCTCGAACACGGCTAAGCAAAAAGGAAGAAGAAGGTTGAGACACTTACATTGATGTATGGGTTCAAGATCTTGATCGTATCTTTCAATCTTCTCCGTCTTGATCTCCTTTTCTCTCTCTATCACTATCTCCTTCTCTCCCTCCATATCTCTCTCGATCGTTTTGTGCGTGTGTGAGAGAAGAGAAGAGAAAAGACAGACCCATTGTGTTGCTGTGCGTGTGAGAGAGAAGCGAAGAGGAGAAGGGCAAACTCATCGTGTTGCTATTGCTGCTTTTGTTTGTATCAAACCCTAATGGGTTGGACCAAATAAATAAATAAAAAGCTTGCTACTATAGATCTTAATGGGCTAGACCCAAACAAATAAATAGAAAGTTTGGGCACTGGTTTGTATCATAATAATTAATACTATAAATTATAATGGGCTAGACCCAAAAAAATAACAAAAAAAATTGGACCTATTGGCTGGCTTGTATCATAATAAACCCTAATGAGTTGGATCCAAATAAATAAATAAATAAAATATGTGGGCCTATTTATAAACTCTATTCAATAATAACATGGGTTATTCTATGACTTATCCACATGTTTGATCCTATTTATAAAAAAAATTGTTGGGTCAACTTTTTTTAACTCATCTTCATATAATAAATATATTTTAAAAATAACTATTTAACGTATTCCCGTACCCGTATCTACATTTGGATCCATATCCACGTATCCTCAATTTTTAATTTTAAAGTGTCCGACCTTCAGATACGCATCCGCACCCGATACCCACACCCGAGTCTGTGTAACATAGATCACAATTGAAAGGTCGGGAACTAAAATAACACAAGTCCCAAATTACAGGAACCATTAGTGTAATTCGCCCATAATTTCTTCTTGTTGATTAAAAAAAAAAAAAAAAAATTGGGGGCTACTTGCAATTTACCCCATTAAACTATCATCCTGTATCACTTTATCCCCTTGATCTAAACAACCACACATTTTAACCCCTTGATGTATTGAAAATCAAAATGGCACTAACTTGTGTGAATGGGGATGTGTTAAATTACATTTATAACCTCAATATTCAGTCACTACAGAGACATTGCTAACTACTAAGCTTTTTTTCCTTGGCTTGAGATACTGTTATCTTCTTCATGAAGCCATCATTTATTTTCCTCATCTCATCATTTCTCTTGGACAACTCATGCACCTGAGAAATCACTCTTCCATTGCTTCTTTTCAGCTCGCTATTTTGTGATTGAACTACCATGTATTTCTTTAAAAGTACTTTCCCAAGCTCCATGCTCTAATAAAAGTGAGAGGATCGAACCAAGCAAAATACCCACAACCTATCTCTGCAACCATAAAATTCACATAAGAGGACCAAATAAAGGGGGGCACTTTCATGTAACTGTGCACAAAATGGTTTGGGCTTGAATCGCTTGATTGGTGGCTGTTGCAACTACAGCTACTATTGGTTGACATCTTAATGCCACCGCAAAGAGCCTTGTTTCCAGAGAGGGGGAAATGGTGAAGTGAAAGAGACAATAAGATAGGGAGAGATAGAGATATGAAGAGAGTAAGGTAGAGAGATGGTCTTAGAGAGCACTTCAAATTCCTCTTTGGGTGAGGAATCCGACGTTCAGACCCGCACCCGCACCCGCACCCGATACCCACACCCGAGTCTGTGTAACATAGATCACAATTGAAAGGTCGGGAACTAAAGTAACACAAGTCCCAAATTACAGGGACCGTTAGTGTAATTCGCCCATAATTTCTTCTTCTTGATTAAAAAAAAAAAAAAAATGGGGGGGCTACTTGCAATTTACCCCATTAAACTATCATCCTGTATCACTTTATCCCCTTGATCTAAACAACCACACATTGTAACCCTTGATGTATTGAAAATCAAAATGGCACTAACTTGTGTGAATGGGGACGTGTTAAATTACATTTATAACCTCAATATTCAGTCACTACAGAGACATTGCTAACTGCTAAGCTTTTTTTCCTTGGCTTCAGATACTGTTATCTTCTTCATGAAGACAGCATTTATTTTCCTCATCTCATCATTTCTCTTGGACAACTCATGCACCTGAGAAATCACTCTTCCATTGCTTCTTTTCAGCCCGCTATTTTGTGATTGAACTACCATGTATTTCTTTAAAAGTGCTTTCCCAAGCTCCATGCTCTAATAAAAGTGAGAGGATCGAACCAAGCAAAATACCCACAACCTATCTCTGCAACCATAAAATTCACATAAGAGGACCAAATAAAGGGGGGCACTTTCATGTAACTGTGCACAAAATCGTTTGGGCTTGAATTGCTTGATTGGTGGCTGTTGCAACTACAGCTACTATTGGTTGCCATCTTAATGCCACCGCAAAGAGCCTTGTTTCCAGAGAGGGGGAAATGGTGAAAGTGAAATAGACAATAAGATAGGGAGAGAGAGATATGAAGAGAGTAAGGTAGAGAGATGGTGTTAGAGAGCACTTCAAATTCCTCTTTGGGTGAGGAAATCTGTGCAATGAGATGCATATATATATATACCATATCTTTGGCATTCCGATTTTAAAATTGCTTATTTTTTTTTCAATACAAGGCTATTTTAGGGATATCACAATATTTATTGACCATGTGCAACTCACATGTAATTTGACTTCCAAAAGTGTGAAGGCCGAGTAACAGAAGGATTTAAATGATACAAATTTACACATCAGGGGGGTAAAGGGTAATTTTTTTCAAGTCAAGGGAGTAAAGTGATAACAAATGATAGTTTAAGGGGGTAAACTGTAATTAACCCAGAAAAAAAATGGTTGCTCAGCTTTTGGGGCTGTGAAATCTTTACTATCCCCAACAAAATAACCTTTGTTAACACACAACCAGTCCTTCTGATCCAGTAACATTAGGAAGCAACCCTCAGAAGTAAAATATTTAAATAGAAATGATAAGCACACGCTTTTAGCAGTTTAGCACAAGTGGTATCCGGACAAAACTCTCATGCTTGAGGTGTGGAGGTGGGGTCCCATCATAATAGGCGATATCCCATATCTATCTTCTTATCTATACTATACAATAACAACTATGACAAACATGACCAAATGATACAATAGCAACAATAATAAATGATATCACAGACCGATGTTTGTAAAGAAACAATCAGAACAATAATAAACATGACCAGATGGGACAGTTAAAAGAAGCTCATATAAAATAAAATAAATACAAGTATCAGATACCAACATTTTTAATGGGCAGTTAGACGCATGTGTACTGCAGCTACACTAACAAACACAAAGATTACAAGTTACCTGGATTAACCAAACAGCATTTTCACTATATAGTGCATTGTTAATGAACCAGCTTGCCAGCTGATCCCATTCACTTTGCTTCCTTCCATATATGGACACCCTGTACTCCGCCAACTGCAAATCAGAGCACGGCAGATGTTAGACTCTCCAAGAAAAAATCATCTCTTCTTTAAAATAATAATTAGGAAACATGACACACTATAACTAAAGCAGGTAAATCACCTCTGCTATCAATAATTCTAGTTCAACAATACTTAATTTTGGGGAAGTAGTAGCGATTTAACAAAGGCCAATCAGCATGATTATAACATCATGCTGGGCATACACTTTTAAATTCAATTGGTCTTGTGAGTAGTGGTTGTGAGATGAGCTGTTGGAATATGTCTCAAATTCGCTTGAAGTTGGGTTTAGTATTTCTTTCCAGTCTTTCTGAAAGATATTATTATTCCTCATCTAGCAAAAAAGTCAACTAGAACTCTATAAATAGGTAACCAGGAATTGGCTTGAGACTTAACAGAGACATGGGGTTATGACACAGCTGAGTTAAGGCTGCAATAGCACCTGCAAGAATGATGGCAAATAGCAACCATGGCTTGTAAAGGGATCAAAGTTTTAAATATCTGAGATCAAAGTTTTAAATATCTGCCACAAACTGTTACATAACGGTTTTGGTAATTATCAAGGTTTCAAGTAACAGTGGTAGCATGGACACAGTTACTGAGTGTAATGACTGTAGTGTAACGGTGGCGGCAACCGGAGCCATGAATTTTTTATTTCTCCGCACAACTTCAGGACTACTTACTGATACACATGTTTTGTTTAAGAATAACATTTAATGAAGTTCAAAATGTTTTTTGATGGGTTTTGTGTAGTTTTAAACATAATCCAATATATGTACTAATTTTAACACTAGTCTTAAGTCACCATAGAAATTTTTCATTTCGTTCAATATATTTATTTTTCTTTACTTTCCCAATTGTACTTGTGGATAACTTCTAGCTTGTAATGAAAACAAATCCATCAAGCATGTTTAATCTTAAAAATGATTGTCTCATAAACATAAGTTCATAATACAAAATGCCAACATACTTTTTTTTGTTGATAAATAAATGTCAACATACTAATATAAAAGTACATAACATGATTTCCAAGATATGTTCAACAAATTTAACGTAAAACTAAGTAGATATAAGTTAATAATCAAAGAATCAGCTCAAAAAAATTTATGTAATTGTACCCACTATTTAAATAAATAAACATTATGCAACAGAGGAGAGTAGGAAAAAAATATCCTAATAGACGCGTCCCAATCAACGGGAGATTTCAATTATAATTATCCATCCCATAATTTGTCTCCCCTGTAAGGGCAACCAAAGTTAGTTCTGTTGGTCCATAAAGTGCATTGCAGACCTAGAGTAAGCACTGACCTTCGGCCCTTTAAGCACCTCAATTAAGTATTTCATAGGCCTACCTAGTCATCTAGGGTTCTTGATGAGGAGGTCCAGATTCTTCAGTTTCAGTAGTGAACAACAGATTAAAATTAAAATTTTCAGTATATATAAGGAAAGATTTCCAATAAAAGAAACTGAGAGAAGACAAGAAGAATTCATAATTTTAAAGACAAAAGATGGTTACACCTGAAATTTGCTTGCTTCAAGATCTGATAAAACCTGCTTTGTCACCTCTGCTATGAAACGACCTGAAATATTAACATCAACAATCCAAATCAACCAGTAATATTTGTGAATAATTCAAATAAATAAAATCTTTATATGACCTCAGTTCCTATAAGTGTCACTAATTACGAATGTGAAAATAAACCTTTGCTGGACAAGTAACAAAAGTAAAGAAAGGTTGAAGAATAGAAAACAAGAGGTGTGACCAGGATACAAAAAGCTGAATAAATAGATGGGTTTGAATAGCAAATAATCATAGCCTAAAAGACTTTCTAAGCATCATTTCCTCGGTAGTTAAAAAATGGCAATCAATTGATCGAAACGGAAATGAAAATGAAAATTAGGTGGTGTTGAATTTTTCATGTAAGGAGTAGGCTTAAGAACTGCAAAAGTACAAAATTTCTATCATGCACTAGTACTATGTATAAAAAGTACACAAATTGATCAGCTGGCTGTTTAATTTTCTTGTACTAGCTTCACTGTTATAATATGAAATCAGTAGTCAGATACAAAACCAACACTTCATTTCATCATAATCTTCTTTTGCTTTATGCACGTACGAAAAAATGGTCACACAAATGGCTTCACAGGGAGATCCTAAATATTTAATTAATTTGCCCATTCCAGTGCAAACTTTGCTATAAATCAGGAGCTGAGGAACTATTGTTGATTTGTATAAAGCAAGACTAGGGACATAGATTCCATCTAAAATGTACTGAGGAAACAAATAAAGTTAAAAATAATTAAAAATAATAATAATAGAAAACAGAAATGAATCATTTTCTGTTACCCATGCCAAAGCTGGATAATGTAATGACTGTATAGAATAAGAGAATGTGATCTCATCTCAAACATCAAAAAAATAAAGAAGCGTCAATATTTCTCATCCACCCAAAACAGTTGACCATGTATAGGGGTAAAAAGCATCAAGATTTTCAAGTCTTCATATGTTAATGATAAACATCAATCTGGTATTCTAATTTTGATAAAGTTAGATATCAAATTGGCAGCTTTGTGAATTGTATGCTGAAACAATTCCACCTTGAACAAATATGAAGTCATGAACTCTATCATTTCAGGGAGCACCATTTCCTTCCTTCAACTTCACTAGAAGGAGGATGCACACGAAAGATTTGTAATCTTAAAATCTTTGAATGGAAAAAATATACTGGCACCTTTTGCTGCAATCTTCAAGTTCCTCTTCCATATTTTAAGAACTGATGAACACTGGCTTCTACGAAGTTGTCAAGCTTTTTAATTTCATTTTTTAATGTACCAAACTGACAAGCCATTCATACTGAATTATGAATATGCAATTGAAAAACAAATTTTGAGATGATAGCTGAAATAAAACATAAATCAAAGTGACAATACTATGAAACCCCTTCGGAAAACCAAACTGAAAATATTTTTTTTTACAGAAAATATGATAGCCAGAATACTTCAAAAAAATGTGCAGGGTACACAATATGATTCTCTGGAAACATTTCTAAACCTTATAAATTAATTTTCGTTATTGAACATTTTGTGTCATTAAAAGACCTACATGAAGAGTACCCTATATGCTTCACATAATTTTTCATAAATTTCTAAATTATTGACAGTTTCTGATAAATTTTTATGTACAAGTTATTCTGTATCACGTTTTCGATTCCAGTTCCTGCATGGGTCTACATTCCCATTTTCAGAGGAAAGACCTATGGTAAAAAGACTTAGTCATGTAGTTCAGGAACTTCTAAACTAAACAAATAAATAGAAAAAGGATTCCTCACATACATATGTATGTTGGAGAATTTGATATGTATTATTTCTTAACAACTTAAACTTTTGGGACCATTGATGATCCATCATGGTATCAAAGTCAATGATTGATGATCTATGGAGAGTAAAAAAAATCCATGGGTTAACTCTCAATGGATGAGAACAAATCTAGGTATACGTGGCTGACAGGCCCGTGGCATGATGGCGCTCAATGGAGTGTGTACGTTAACTCAAGTTGGCACATCGTTGAAGAGTAATGAATCAGAATTAAGGGGAAGAGTGTATCATCTATGGTTGCATGGAGATACTTGATGGAGTAGGAAAAAAAATCCATGGGTAACTCTCGATAGGGCAAGGAAAAAAAAATCTATGTGCACCTGAGATTGTTCAATAATTTCGAAGATAGAATCCCACATTGAATAAAAATAAAATGTAAATATAAATTGAATGGACTCAGCACTTCCAGATTTAAAGCTTTTAAATGGGTATTTCCAACATTGTATGTTGAACCATAATGTTGCACAAGTGGACTCCTCAGAGAGGTCTTGGGTTCAAGTCTCTCACCTTGCATTATGTTTCTCTACATGTTTGGATGTTGGCATCTTCATGTGCAAGACGGGTTTGCACATGACGGCAAGTGTTGGAGAGCTTGATATGTATTGTTCGGTTCATTTCCTAACAATTTAAGTTTTTTGGATAATTGGTGATCCTACAATATACACGTACGTTGTGAAGCAAATTCCATTTCATTGTTTTAGATATAGTTATTCTCCACTAGGTTATTAAGACCATCAAATCTAGACCAGCAATTAAAGCCAAATTCCTTTCTTTATGGCCCATACCTTGGATGAGATTGTCCTGTTTCAGAAAGATCTCTCTGAGTCTGCTCTGACCACAAGGATTATATTTGAGATTGAATTTGTCAAATCGATGAAAGGTACTTTTATCAGCATGCACATCCAGTAGATCAACATTAAGATCATGACTGCAATGCAATTGTTAACAATCAGAGAGAGGCAGGAAGGGGGGTTTCCACTTCTAAAAGCAAAAACAAATATCAACAGAACAATAAGCATGCCAACCCTGTTAACTGCAGACTCTCAAAGACTTCCTTAAGTGTAAGATATATTCCATCACGAAATATGACAACCTGCACAATGGAACACAAAAGCATAACTAAGGAGCATTGACTAGAAGTAATTACATAGTTCTTGGAAATAAAAACCAAAGCAGGAGTACTTTTATCTCCATTTATCCAAATTATCATGAAATTAAGCAACAGGCTGAAAGAATTCAAAAAGATGAAATAAAATAATAAAAATTATACCTCATCTGGTTCTTTTCTTAATTTTGACTTAATGAAGCGCAGAAGATGCTTCTGGTTCATGCAAGCAGAATGGTGCACGTGAGTATCAACTTTTCTGATATTGTAGAAATCACGATGGGGTGCACTTTTCTGGGCTAAAAACTCCCGATCTGCATTCACTAACAGATGAAGACGGAATTTCTGTGTGGTGATCAAGTTAAAGATATAAGCACAGATCACAACAAATCACAAAAAGCAAAAGTCCCAAAATCTGAAGGATATCACCTCCTCAAGAAATCGTAATCGATGATGGCATGCAGACCGAACATTTCCAATGGAAGTAACTTTTAGGAGGTGATGCATATCAGTGAAAAACGTTGTTGAACTTGCAACCGGGAAAAGATCTGTGGAGTCTGAGAGAGGGAGAGAGAGAGAACCTGCTTGAAGATACTCATACTTGGGAAATTAAAGAATGATAACCAATCATTGAGGTCTACATTAATGGATAATTCCATCTAGTGCATCATGTGTTGCTTGTGAAGCTTACCGTTTTCACTTGCATAAACGTGTACAACTCCGTCTTCCATCCTAAAGTGGTGCTGCTTGCAAATTAAAGAATAGCTTTTGACATAAGGCATAAGAGAGAAAAAGCATTGCTTCACTTCTTTGCTTTTTGCAAAGCAAACACAGGAAGCTAAACTTCACATCATTTTATATATATCAGTTAAGCAAATGGCAACTCACAGCAGTGGCTTCAACAGGGACAAAGCAAAGTGGATCATTCTTTGTTCCAGATGCACAAGATTCTCCCACAGTTGCCTTTATCCATGGGGCAACTTCCCTGTAGACATACTTCTCCCGCAAATCCAAACAATCACGAATCATCTTCCATACTTCCTCCTCTTCCTTGTTCATTGACTCTATTATCAGTTATTTTGACGGGAAGATGAAAACCAATCAAATTAACACGAAAGAATTGGAAGAAGCACAAGTCATTTAGGTTGACAAATCGTAAATCTAATCAAGAACAAAATCTCATTGATTTCCCCAAAATACCAGATGATATTAACATAAATAATTAAGCAGATAATACATCACTACCACCTACATGCCAGCCAACCAATGATTTAATCAGGAAATTCAATGTGAAAAAGGCTTGAAAGCAATGTGAGTGAATAGACAAAAATTCCAGTGAAATCCCAGGACCAGGAAGTTTACAATACATACCATGCACTGTAGCTGTCAGAGGTAAAAAAATGTTGGTTAAACTAGGATCATTCCCCATGATGTGCATTGAGGTTGTATCTGCCTTTCCATCACCATATTGATCTACATTTTCCTTTGCTTCATTTGCAATTGCTCTATTTTTCTGTTCTAGAATACAGCTCCTGTTGTCATCATTGAATGGAGAAGCAGATAAATTTTGAATGTTTGAACTGTTATCCTGCAAAACATCAACATATGGCATACTTTACAAGATATCCTTCGAATATAATTCCTTCCACCGCTTCAAAATCAAAAACAATAGCTAAAGAACTTTTCAAGCATAACTTGCAGCTTAAAAAAAACAGATCATTCATGGTATACCAGTGAAAACAATCAATACTCATTCAATGGTAAAATAAATCACTCAACATCACATGTTTCAAATAAGAAGATAACTACACATACATTTAAATTTATACATTCAGCTGAAGAGTCAATGTTCTCATAAGTGTAGAGGTCCTCTCCAGTAGCAAGCTCTGTTCCTTCATCGTCAGAATCTCCTGCACTTCCAAATGCATAGCCACCTGAGGATCTAGGAGTCATTAGCCTACCACCTGATCCCACCCACATAGATTGATCCTGTCCTGAACAAAGAAAAACGGAATAAAAACTGATGCAAGATGTCAGAAATGTAATTCCAAAAACAGGGAAAACAAGGACTAGGGAACAAAAAAATTAAATTAAATTACAATAATAAATAAATAAGTGCACATATTTTGCTTTAACCTAACCAATTTCTGACAAAATGCAGGACAGTTTTGTTATGTGCAACAACTGCTGATGACTTCACTAGACTAAAATCTAAATAGCTCATTGGAATCTCAAATTCTTGGAGATTTAAAAGTTAGGACAAAGAATTTAAAAAAAAATAAAGGCAAGCCCAGAACATTATAAAATTTAATCATTTTCATGTGTAACGTTCCTGGCTGACATGGAATCTTATTTATGTTACTAGTAACAAGATTCCAATTTCTCAGTGGGATTCCTGGTAATGGGATTCCAATCCCATGTCTTTAATTTCGACCATCAAAAATTTGCCTTAAGCTCTTCATCTCACTCAAAGATACATGCATACACCCACATATCTCAATAAAAATAACAAGGCTTTTACAGTTCATTTGGATTGAGTGATTTGGAGAGAAAAGAAAAGAAATCAATTTCCCTTGGTCCTAGTCCCATGCTTGGATTACTAAAGAGGAAAGAAATGAGGATAAATGGAGAGAAAATGATTTATCTTACAACCTACTTTGTTAACTCTCCAAAATTGGACAGGTTGGGAAAGAAAAAAAAAATGAGATAATTATAACCTGTAAGAGTTTCTTTTCTTTTCTATTATATAGTCTATCCAAACAAGATTGGAGAGGAATCACTATCTTTTCTTTTCTTTTCTCTCCAGCTTAACAAATCAAAGGCGAGAGAAAACACAATCTTTTCCTTTTCTTTTCTTTTTTCTCTAAATTAAAAGAAATCATTTCTTTTCTTCTCTTCTAGATTCTTAAACATAGAGTTATTCCATGCCATCTAGTTTGTTTGTAAGGCAAACATAAAGTATTTCTAACATCCAGAATTGCTTTTTGCTATCAACTAAACAATAATGTAACAGTGTTAGTGTGTTACAGCTTCATTATCAATATCATTAATCAGAATTACTTTCTTCCAAAATACCACAGTCCAAACTCATTGATCTTACAGATAATCTCGCTACAAATAACTTTATATCCAGGTGAATAATTAAAATAAATGTCCTTTTCGCCCAAATAATTTTGATAGACACAGAGTAGAATAATAACAAAATAAAAATACCATCTTTAGGCGGTAGACTAGAAGGAATCAAATTGGACTTATCCCAAGAATTTGACAAAGCTTGATTTCCAGATCGCATTAACTGATAACATTTGGCCTCATCATCATCGAACCACTGGTTCGATAAACCTACATTCGGCATTGAAGACGAAACTCTGTAGCTACTAAGCAGCACGTTCTCATCCAAAGACCTAGCAGTGTTCCTATCAATCTCAATCTCTCCATCGGAGACGAAATAGCTTCCGCCGCCGTCGTCTTCGGAAGCGAACAACTGATCATCGGCGGCGACGGCGGTGGCGGAGGAAGGGCATCGGCGGCGGAGCTTGATGAGGCGGTCGAGGACTTGGTCGACGGTGCGCTTGTGGATGTAAAAGGCGGAGATCGCCATTACTGAAGCTCCGAACAACGCAGCCAATGCCAAGTGCATGGACGACGAGGCGGCTTGTGAGGAAGAAGAAGATGAAGATGAGGAGGAGGAGTCCATTTTCGGGTCTGTTTGGTTGTTGTGCTGCGTTACGAGTTTTAGGGGTTTATGATCAGTAGTGGAGGTTGATGCAGCCCTTAGTTTTTTTTTAACTTTGTATGAGACGTGTGTTGTTGGGTTTTTTTTTGTTGTGGACAGCAGTGGCGGTTTAGGCGACTGTGTACCGCCGAGAGGAGTGAAGTGTCGTTTGAAGTTTGTGTCCAATGGGACCCTCTTGTCAAATTTTCGACCCCACCTCCCTAAACCAAAAAAAAAAAAATTATTTATTTTTATTTCAGTTTTCTGAATTTAATTTTGGAGATTTTTTTTAAGATCTTTGATATTAAAATTTTATAACATAAAAGACATTTAATATTTTTATAATGTTTGAGGTCCTTCAAATCAAATCTGAGAAAATTCAATCCAAAAAGATTCTCTGGTGCAAGCCAAAAAAAATTCAATTCAGAAAAAATTTCTAGTCCAAAACCAGAAAAAATTCTCTGAATTGAATTTTCATAATGTCTGGGAAATTTCTCTGGTCCAAACTAGAAAAAATTCAATTCAAATTAGAGAAATTCTCTCTGATTTACTTATAATTTCCTCTGATTTGTTTACCATTTTATTTGCCTTCAACAACAACCACCATCTAGGTTTGAATTTTTCAGGTCTAAACCAAAGAAATTCTTTCTAAACCAAGGAAATTCTCTATGATTTACTTATCATTTTCTCTTATTTGTTTTACCATTTTCTCTGCCTTCAACAACAACCATTTGAATAAATCAACCTCAACTGTGGATTAAACAACAAATTTAAGAACATACATTAATGAGACGAATGAGATCTAGGGTTTACAGATGAGGGGAAGGAAGAAGACCACGCCTCCATCTCCTTCTCCTACTACCTCGACGCTGTAGAACTGAAGTTCGAGCTTGCCATTCTTCGGTACCGGAATCTCTCCAGTACCGACGACTCCACGTAGCCCTTGTTGTGTCACTACTGTTGAAGACTGAACTGTTGAAATCTAGCGAAGTCAAAGGCTTCATCATTGGCATAAAGACCATGCGAGCTCCGAGAGTAAAGCCTGAACCAAACCTATTTCCAAGCAAAACTTGAGCTGCTTTGAGAGATTTCAAAGCTATCTTTGAAAACACAGAAGAGAGAAGAGAAAACAGAGAGAGAGAATGAGAGATTGTTATATATGGGCGTGGATGAGGGATCTTAGACTACCAAAAAAAAATTATTGTGAATCTCTCCCATTACTAAAAGTTGGAGAGGGATGTTAGACTAATTTTCCCTTCAATTTTTTAGAAATTGAGCTTTTTATTTTTTATATTTTTTTGTCTTTAGTGAATATTTTTAAAATTTGAAGCAATTTTTTAATTTTTTTTAGATGCACCTTACTTAAATGTATCCAAATAGTAAAATATTTGTAAAAAAATATTTTAGAAAATTAATAAATATACAAAATATGAAGAATGTACTGAATTTTATTTTTATTTTTTTGTATTTTTGGTATTTAGTGAATTTTTTAAAGATTTTTTTTTTTTTGCAAAAATTGCACTTTTTAAGTGTATTATGTTAGGTATGTCTAAAAAAAATTTAAAAAAAATGCTTAAATTATTAAAAAAATTTAGTGAAAACAAAAAAAATATGAAAAATAAAAAAAATATAATTTTTTGAAAAGTGAATTCTGAAAACTGAAACCAAACAAAGTGATTAAAATTTTATTCCAACAGAAAATTGCGGCCGTGTTTGGTTTGCCTTTGGAATCATGATTTTAAAGGCAAAATTTTCAAATCACTTTTTCAAATTCATAACCAAATACACAACTCAAAACTCAATTCAAAAATTAATTTCAAAACTCATAACCAAACACACAACTCAAAACTCAATTCAAAATTTTTTTCAAAACTCAAAACTAAAATCTTTTCAAAACTCTATTTTAAAAGACAAAATTCAAAAAAATATTTTTTTTATTTTGTTTTTTAAAATTATTTTTAGAATCATGATTTGAGAATGTAGTCGTATTTTGAGTTATGAGTTTTGAAAATAGAAAATTTGTTTGGTTATGAGTTTTGAAAAAAGTTGAGTTGTATTTTGAGTTTTAAGTTATATTTTGAATTTTTTTGGATTTATTTTATTTAAATATTTAAAAATTTTCTTAATTTTATTTTTTTAGGGTAAATATTTTATATTTTAAATATTTATTTATTTATTTTAATGTGCACTATATTTCATATATTTATGTGTTGTATTTTTTAAAAAAAATATTTTATAAATATTTAAAAATTTATTTTTATTTTAAATATTTTTATTTTAGATACTTTATTTTATTTTATAAATATATTTTTAAATATTTTAAATTTTTGTTATGTGTTGGTTACCACAAGGCTGGAAGGAATTCAAGAACTACCTCAAACACAAGTGCAAAGAAATGTCTTTGGAAGAATTAAAGTTTAAAATATTAAAATTAAAAATTAAAATATTTACAAAATAAAATAAAATGTTTAAAATAAAAAAAAATTAAATAAAAATTATATATTTAAATTTAAAAAATAAAATTTTCTTAAACATTTTTTAATATTTAAAAAAAATCCAAAAAATTCAAAATACAACTCAAAATTCAGAAACTCAATAAAACTCAAAATACAACTCAAAACTCTTTTCAAAACTCAAAACTCTTTTCGAAAATTAAAAATTTAAAAACTCCTGTCAAAACTCATAATCAAATAAATTTTCTCTTTTCAAAACTCAACTCACAATTTCACACTCAAATCACAACTCCAAAAAAAGAATCACAATTCCAAAACTAAACCAAACGCTACCTACTTCTTTACCCAATTTCCACCATCACCCCTGCTGAAAAAATAATGATTTTTTGTTGACTTTAATGTAATGTTAAAGTGGGCGTCAATCCTCAATTGAGGTGGAGTTAAGTGAGTTTAGATTCTTTGTAGTGAGATCTTTACACCGCAAAAAGAATGACAAAAAATCATTAAGGCTTGAATGAGAAATTAACTCATTAAGTTGGCCTCATAAAAGAAGTGTTGGACAATGTGTAAAACCTTGTATCCGACATTGATTGTAGAGGAGAACATTGATAGGTATTTAAAAGCCACTTTTTGCATAAGAGTGTAAGCCCATTGGGGCATCCAAATTTTCCGAAGGGAAGGAATTATGAATGCTTCAAGGATGGACTTGGGCCAAGACTATGGTTTAAGTTGGTTGTTGTAGTAATCCCGGTTTCGACCCTTCTTTCATGTTTTACCACTTCGACTGGGCAGGTCGGGGATCGAGCTACCCGGTCAACTCGCGAGGGTCTAAGGGGCAGCGCCGCTTTGGCGGGTCCTATGGCAGCGCCCTGGCGAGGTTGAGGGGCAGCTCCCCCGAAGCAAAAATGCAAAATGCATTCGAAGTTGTAGAGTGCATCTCAGAATTCTTGTCCTTGTTTATTCCGTTGTTAAGTTTCACATGTCTCGGAGGGTGCGAGGTCGGGTCCGAGGTGTCGGGAGTTGAACCGAGGAACTTTCCAGACAGAGGACCAGGGCCGCACGTGCGGGAAAAAGGTTGCATGTGCGGGGGATGAGGCCGCACGTACGGGAAATAGGGGAGGAGTGTGAAGCACACTGCTAAAAAGGCAGGTGTAAGAGTGAGGTGCAGGGGAAAAGGCCGCACGTGCGGGGGTGAGTGTCGCACATGCAGGAGCACACGCCGCACGTGCGGGAGGAGGCTCCGCACGTGCGGAGGTTAGGTGAGATCCGAGCTTTCTCTCTTTCTTCTCTCTTTGGGCTGATTGTGTATCACTTTTTGTGTATCTTTCTCTCTCTAAAAACATTTCCTCTCCCTTCTCTCTACATTTCCCTACGCCAAATTGGATCAAAACCTTGATTTCTCAAGATCCATTAGAGTTCTACCATAGATTCTTCATCAAAGTTGGTTAACTTCTCGAGGGCTTCATTGTGTGCAGTGAAGATCGAGTTTAGACACCATTGATTTTGGGGGTTTCATCTCATTTCTTCTTATTTTTGCAAGATCTAGATGATTTTCAAAATCATCATTCGATAGCTTTGAAAATTGATTGTTAATTCAAGAAGTTGAGCGATTTTGAAAGTGGGTTTGTCTCTTGTTCTTTTAAAATGATCTTATGGGTTTTGATCTTCGTTGATTAAAGAAAAGATGATTTTGGAAAGTTTTCTTTCAAAAGATTTGAGTTGTATAGTTTTAGTGAGAAATCCTAGAATTTGGGAATTTTTTTTAAAGAGACTGAAAATCCATGAATGATATTGTCATATTTATTTTGTGTGTCAAAATAAATGGATGTTTGAAAAATTTCTTATTTATATTTATATAAATGATGAATTTCAGGGAATATGAGAATTGTTGTTCATTTTGGAAATTATTGTTCAAAACATTGAAATAGTCTTAAAATGACTAATTGTTGAGGATACTTGAGAAGAGGGAATTGTGTTATTCCTTGGATGATAAATTGGAATAAAAGTATTTATATTCATCTTGTGTTATTGGCATATCAATTCATTTGATTACATTAAACTTTGAAAGTTGATTTGGAAACTTGCATTGAGAAAAGAATGTTGAGAAACAAGTTTCCATGAATTGATTTTGGGATAAATACGGTGGTAAGTCTTGACAAGTGGTGTACATGAAATTGAATAGGTGCCGAGCCTTCCGGTTAATACTGGTAAAAATGAGAGCTTATAGGTGTCGAGCCTTCCAGTCAATGTTGGCAAAAGTGACAAATTGGTAGTACTTGTATAGTCTACTTGCTGACACTAACCTAGGGATTTCCAGAGTCGTATGTACTGCTCTTGAAATGAATTGTTAAGGTTTGAAGAATTAAAATTGCATAACATCATTGAGTATGATGGTTTTCAAAGATGAAGATGTGATTTTTTTTCAAAAAGGCATAGCATGGCATGTGCATTTCATCTCTTGAGACTTGTATAAAATATATATACTTTGTTAAGAATTTCCTACTGGGCTTTATGCTCACCCTACGGGATTTTTGTGCAGGAAACGATATGGTGATGCCGCCTAACTAGAGGCGAGGAAATGTGTGTTGGGAGTACGAGACTCTCATTTTGCTGTGACTCTGTGTGTAAGCCAAGGGCTGTATGTGTGAGGGTT